ATATATATATATATATATATATATATATAAATAAAATTTTTGGTAAAATGCCTATTTTGACAATATTGGTTCTGCCTATACAGGAACAGGGAACACTGTAGCTCTATTTCCCAATGTTCTTGTCAATCTTTTTTTCAGAGTGCTGTACAAAGGTTTTGATTGTAGAGGTCTTTCACTTCTTTGGTTAGGTTAATTCCTTGGTATTTAATTTTTTAAAGCTATTGTGAATGAGATTATTTTCCTGATTTCTTTCTTGGTGGAGTTGCTGTTGGTGTATAGGAACGCTATTGATTTCTGTGTATTGATTTTGTATTCTGCTACTTTGCTGAATTTATTAGTTCTTATAGTCTTTGAGGAGCTTTTTGGGTTTTTTTGTAAAGGAAGGACTGCATTGTCTGCCAAGAAGGCTAGTTTAACTTCTCCCCTTTTTGCACATACCCTTTTACTTCCTGCACATATCCCCTTGCCTGACTGCTCCAGCTCCTGTTTCAAGTACTGCATTAACAGGAGTGGTGAGGGCAGACAGCCCCGAAAAAGAAAACACAACAGAGCCTGGGCTGGCTCTTCATGTCAGGAAGGCAGACTCTAGTCAGGTGGTTTTTCCGCATACTGTAGGGTGGCTCTGCTGTGATTAAAGAACAGGTGTTAAAGAAATTGGCTTCATTGAGAAGTGTGCCATGCCACTCTGCCTCAAAGAAAAACCAAGGCATTTCCGGCTCCCAATATTGTGGTATGTAACAAGAACTAAGGGAGGATGCTGTGACCACCATTTGCACATAAAATTATTTAATGTGGCCAACCTAGAAACAAATGTTTGTTTTTTCAATGGTATTGTGTCATAGCACATTTTAGAAAATGAAAGTCCTAGTTAGCCTAGTAACAAACACAAAATGGACCTGACTTTAGGACAAAATGATTAGCTATAACTGAAATATTTATACAAGTTTTGTTTTAAATAATAATTTAAGATGATAAAAATTGCTTTTTATGTGTTTTATTATAAATACCTCAATAATGATAACAAATCTCAAAATGTGGATTTATTCAAATCAAAGCAAAAGGGAAAGAGAAGGTAGGAAAAAAGCAATAAGCAACACACTATTTCTCAAATTTACTGAAAACTAAGTTTAAAAGTACTTACTGACAGCATGTGCAGACACTGATGACTAGAATGATAAAAATGACCATCACTGCTATTAAACAGATCACCAAAATCTGTCCTCTGTCTCCTCGCAGGTAGAACAGGTCAACTCTCTCACACCGGGCTCCAGTGTAACCCTCATCACAGCTGTAAAACAAAAGCAAGCAAAGGCAGCAAGGTAAAAACTCGAGACTTCTATGAAACTCCACCTCATTTTGAAAGACTTCCTGACATGGATGCGGAACACAGGTCCTTTGCTCAGCAAAGCTTTCCCCACTCATTAGCAACTTTTCTTTCTTTGCTTTGCTGATGCCCTGCCATCACTTGGATGTTATTAATGTATCTAATATAAATAAAACCAGGATAGTGACAGATTACTAAAATATGTGTTGGAACTGTAATCCTTGTTTTGAACAGAAGGGGATGAAAATGTCCCTCCACACATCCCCAGTGCTTAAAAACCTCCCTGACAAGGAATTCAGAAATCCCCAGGATTTCCCATTTCATCATAGGCCAATGTGCACAATTTCAGCATGCCCACTCGCTTTTATAAATAATTTTAAAATGACATTGCTTGGGGCTGGGATGCACCTCAGTGGTAGAACACTTGTCTAGCAAGTGTGAAGCCTGGACTCAATCCTCTGTACCACCAAAAAGTAAGCAAACAAAAATTACATTGTTTCATATAATCAAACACAGTAATGTATATGAGAGCTCATAGCCCAGTGACCAAAATAGAAAGTCCCATAAATATCCTACAGAATCCCTCTCCCATTCCACTTTCATGCTTCTGCTTGGGAGGTCCTGGATTAGGTAATGTTCTTTCTTACTCATGCATTCACCCTTTCACCAACCACATCCCCTCAGAACAACTCAGGTCCTGTACTAGCCCTTCTCCATCTGCATCTCTAGATCAGTTAGCTGCTCTCTCCACTGGCTTCTCATGGCCTACTTGTATTCATCCTCTGGCCCTTTCAAAAGGGAGTAACCAGAATCAACCAGCTCTGTAAGTGGAGTCACCACTTCCCTATAACCTTAGGAGAACAGCAGCTGGTGTCCTAGACCTGCGTTCCAGTTGTCAATCTGTCCCACCACCCTGGAACCCATCTGAGCAATGCTAGAAGAGGTAACAGCTTGATGTTCTGTGGACGACCCATAACAGCATCAGAATTGCAGCAGAAGCTTCAGAGATACCTAAAGATTTTCCTGAGGACCTTTGAACCAACCTGTCTTTTGTAACATCAGCACCCTTGTGTTGATATTTTCCCTTGTCTCTTCAGATGCATAAAACTAGCTATATGCATAATTACCTCAATGTCAGAAAGATTACATTCTGCAACTTGAAAAGATTTCTGTGTGGCCTCATTTTTCTCCAAGAAAGTATTCCTGGCCAGGCTGTTCTATAGCTATGCTTGACAAGAGCCATGGCAGTTAATTTCCACAAAGCTCATATTTCTCAAGTAAAGAAATCCTTTAAGGGCAACATTGTAGCAGAGCAGTGCTTCAAAACCAAAATGAACAAAACCTCAATAACAATCATCAATTGAAAGGTGAACTGCAATGAAACAAAGACAGAAGATGCTCAATGCTATCTGTCACAAAAGGACCCCAGGACACACAAGACAGAACTGCTTGCAGCATGATAACTAGGTACCTTCATTCCAAGGTCAGAATACAGGGAGGGAGCTTACGAATATCTGGAAATATAAAAAGTCTGTTGTTCACAGAATTGAAATTGTGGGAGGATCATTTTTAATTGCATGTAGGAAGATGTTTTCAAAACTTGTTTTAAGAATGTATTTAAATCTTACAAATACATATTCTCTTCCAATCAGCATAAATATTTCTTTAACAAATGCAATAAATATGGCATTTTTAAACAACAGCTTTGCCCATGAAGAGCCCAATTCCTGGCTGAGCTTTTGGAATGTTTTCCCAATTTTGCTCCCTGGTTCAGTGGCTGAACTGTGGTTTGGTTGAGTTGCTCAGTAAGCCACAGTTCCTATAGGCTATAACCAGGAAGTCCTGCCAGAGAGACAGATTCTCACATAGTTATGGTGACTCTCAGGACATTCACTCTTCCACAAACCGTGAGACTGTCAGCTGTTGCCCATGATCAGGGAGTGCCTCTCCATAGGGAGGAGGAGGAGGAGACAGGAAGCAAGCGCCACACTCACTGAATGGTAAGTAGACTATTGAATAAGTACCTTACTGAATGATGTCTGGTAAAGTGAAAGTGAATACAACTTTGGAGGATTCCATGACTCTTGAGAAACTTCAAAATTAGGCTTTGCAATCACTCTCCTGAAATAATCAAAATGTGTAGATATCAACGGGACTGTGACAGCAGCCTTCGAGAGAGGTGCTTGTGTGGACCTCAGATAGCAGGTGAAAAGACTGCAGTGCTGAGGAGCGGAGTGAGTGGGGCAGGGATTCCAGCACGGGCGTCTGGCTCAATGAAATGTAAATGAACTGTTGTGTATAAATTATTAAAAATTACATATCTAGAAACAGGTGACACACTTTCCAAAAAGGTACTGACAAGACTAATAGAGGATATGAACTCTCTGAAACACATTTAGTGCGCATGTGTGTAAAAAAGGAGTCCATAAACTCCTGTGATCCCAAGTAAAGGGGACATTTTTGTTTTCCCAAGATGGCACTATCACCGATAGCAAAGAGTTTGGCCTGAGTTTCGTACAAAAGCAAGCCACCTGAAAGGCCAGGCCTGGGTGCTATTATACCTGCCACTCTTCCCAAGGGTATAGTCCTAAAATGCTTGCTCTCTTTTGGATCATTATATACAAGTTGTGTTGCTTTTATTATTTGGCTTAATCGTCAAGTCTCGAGAGGAAAGTAGAGTATTATTTTCTCCTTTTATAGATGATTGAACAGATGTAGGAAAGACAACTGACCCATGGCTACCACCTCGTATGGTGGATGAAGGCAAAGCCTGACTTTAGGTCTCTTGACTCTAGAATCAGTACCTGGACCTTTATGTCATGCCACCAGCATTGGTTCTGTATAATTCTGCTGCAGGGACAATGCTCCCAGCTCTAATGAAGGCTGTTAAACTTGGCATTGTACTCACAAATGGGACACAAACAGGAATAAGCACGAGCCCAGCCCACTAGAAACACAGTCAGAGCGGACCTTCAAAGAAACCAACAGCCTCACTCCGGTGGATGCCCGCTGTCTACAAGTGGGAGCAGATGGCAAAGCAGGGGCACCCACCTCAGCACCTGGAGGAAGCGCTCGAGGAGGACTCAATGTGAGTCCTGGAGGAGCTGGTGTCGGTCCACATCTTAAACCATCAATGGGAAAAGCTCCCAGCTGTGAGAGGAGCTCCCACAAAAAAACAGTAAAGAAGTGGAGAGTTTTAGAGGAACATTTGAGAGGTGCGGCTGGAAAGTTAAGCCGGGATCAGAGGAATGGTGGAAACCCCAGAAGTGAGCTTTAACTTCCCAGGGCACAGGACAAGTGTCAGGTCACACCTGTGGCAGGCAGATCATACACTGTGGTTTTCTTTCCAAAAGCAGTGATCTTAAAGAACAATAAATGGGTGAGCATATGGATCAGTTACAGAGATGCTCTGGGTAAAAGGGCACTCATATTTTATTTTTTTAATTATTTTTTTATTTTTGTATTTTTGTATTAAATTCTTTTATTGGTACATTGTAGGTATACAGCACAATTACATTTCTCATGGGGAATTGTACCTTTATATAACGCATCTTGGTTCTTATTTTTTTCCCATTCCTAGCCCTCCTTTCATCCCCTCCACCCTTCCCTATTTACAAAGACTTTATTTCCATTTTTTCCATTTCTCAGTCATTTTTCCTTCCCCTTCTTTCCTTTCCCCTGCCCTCCCACTACCCCTACCCCTTTGGACCTTTTCTTCCTATTTTACATTATCGATTATTCATTCTAATCATTGGTACATTTTAGGTATACAATATAATGACATCCATCATTGGAAATTTCCACCTTTACATAGTCTCTGTTGGTTCTTATTTTTCACCCTTGCCCAGCCCTCCCTTCAACCCCTCCAGTCCTCCCTATTTACAAAGATTTTGTTCCTATTTTTCCATTTTCTCATATTAATCTCATTCCCTTCTATCCTTTCCCCTAGCCCTCCCACTTCCTTCCCTTTGCCCCTTTTCTTCCTATTTCACATGACCTATTATACATTTAGTCCTTATTTACACTTTCAGTTTCTCACACCAGAGAAACTATTCGGTATTTACACATGTGAGGGCACTCATATTTTAAACACAGTAAATAATTAAATGAAATTTTTTAAAACTCTACCTTTCTTAACACGCACACGAGCACACGCGCGTGCGTGCACACACACACACTTTCCTACCTGTTTTACAGTAATAATTCAGCAATTCTTATCCTCTTCAAAGAATTATCCTTGCATATTTCTTTTGCAAAATGAACTTTATATAATTAAAATTTGAAGAAGCCTATGACCTTTCAAGTTCCCACAAAAAAGGATTTGGAATCACTCAGATCTTAATGGAAAAAATGTAAATTGGAGAATATATGGAAGAACATAACCATTCTGTGAATTTCAGATCCAAGGAATCCCCTTGTTCCTCTGACAAAAGGTCTCAGCAGCACGTTAGAGGACATCTCTTTATCAGAAAAGGAATGCTAAACAGATGCTAAAGCTGTGTGTGCCTGAGTAAAATTAAACTTGGGCCTTCACTCTGTGAAAAGCTGGAAGGAGAACCTTCTCCTGGTTCCCACTGTGCTAGACTCTGCTTACAAACAAAGCTGGCATCTTTGCACATGGCTGACACTTGCAAGAGTAGCTTTTACTTTGGCAGCAGCTCCTCCATATTTACATTAAGGACCAGCCTCCTAATGCTGCCAGGAGAATGTGTTTCCATGGGAACCACCCAGGCAATTATTGAAGCTGAAAAGCATCCTAACCCTGGACAGAATCAGCTTCGCTTGCCAAGGCAGTGAGGACGGCCCAGCCTGGACATGGATCCAGCTCCCACGCTTGTGTTTCGGAAAAGTGTGCGTCAGCCTCTCCATAAGCAACTTGGACCAGGCCCTGGACAAGAGGCCAAGGGCAGAGTTAGGCAGAGCCCTGTGGACAGATGGCGTGGTGAGCTCAGGCTTTCCGAGGCCCACCCCGGAGGGCACCACCTCTCAGCAGGCTGTCAAGCTCACTTACATGCAGGAGGGTGTCTGCTCAGCCACCACCAGGCGACATCTGCCCTTGATGCAGTAATGCTTGTACTGCTTGGGGCAGCGGGAGAAGTGGCCTTTCCGCTTCGGCTGTGTGGTGGGGGCTGGAAGAAAAAAGAGAGTTGGATCTGTCAACTCACTTTGCACACTTACTCAGAACTGAGCCCCATTCTTATCATGGCTTTTCTGCAGACCACACTTCAATTTCCCATCTCTCCCTCTCCTCACTCTGAGATAAAAGCCAAACTTTCATGGCTACAGAACAGGTCTCAAGATTGGATAACGAGGATCTGGGTGGGGATGTTTCATATCTAGTTAATATCTGTGCAAACCACCTCTCCGAAATGTCGGTGTCATTTAACAAGCAGTGCTTGGGTGTGACAGGTAGGAGGGCTTTCTTTTTATGACTGTTATCAGAACCCTGCTAGAGGAAGAAGTCTGCTGGCTGCTGGTGTTGTTGCTGCTGCTAATTTCTACCCCATGAGCGTGCACACATGGGGCAGGGACAGAGTCCCCATGCGATCCACTCGCTGCTCACACACCAGCCTGCTCGCTGACCACACAGCCTTCTGAGGTGAACACCATCTGAGCCTCCAGCTTGTAGACAGCACAGCACCACGCAGAGAGGAGGCCACCTCCCAGGGTTATATGTCTGGGGGTGGCAGCCCTGCCCTGGGCCCACACTGCCAGCCACATCCCTCTGGCGCTCTTGGGACCAGCAGCCGAGCCAGCATCTGTCAACTGAACTCAACCTGTATGTCCAGAAGTCACACTCATCTCCTCTCTTCTGGCCCACAGATGCCTTCTATTGCTCCACACTGACTCCCTTGCCTACCTTTTAGAGCCTTGACTGTCCCACGTCCTAACTAAGGACAGTGATATGTAACCATTGTCCCACCACTCACGAATAAGAGGGTTAATAATTACAATTGCTGACTGTACAGAAATAATCATTAGCAGTCTTGTTTGTTGATTGATTGAGAACTGACATATGCCCACATCAGAGACAACAACTAAAAAGCTGGCTGCAGCCCAGGTTAAACTGCCCACATCCACAATAAGCAGCAGCTTGTGTGACCACTGTATAGCACTCAGAAAAACCACACAGCATTCACTTTGGAGGCATCCAAACTGGGTTTGCCACAGCACATTGCATCACAGTAGCACTAAACAACACTTCTGTGATGGCCATGGTCTCTGAATGTCCTAGCACTAGGAAACAGGTGCATACAATCGCACAGACCACAGGGAGAGAACCACAGAGGAGACCCACAGGGGACACTGGATGATCTCCAGGCTGCACATCGGTGACGCCAGGATCCAGTACAGTCATCCTTCTGGATCCAGGGGATTTGGTCCCAGGACCCCTCCAGATGCCTGAATCTGAGGATGATCCTCCCCCTTGTGTAAGGTGAGGTAGTCTTTGCACAGAACCTACACACATCCTCCTGTGCACTGTAAGTCTAATCTCTAGATAACTTGTGACCTAGAGTACAGAAATGCTGTGTAAGTAGTCATTACACTGTGTTGTCAAGAAATGATAGCCAGAATGGTCTGTGGATGTTGGCACAGGAGGAATTCCACTGGGGTATTTCCAGTTTACAGTTGGCTGATTCTATTGAGATAGAACCCACATACACAGTAGATGGCAGAATGTCACAGAGGAACTGGCTGACCAGGTTTTGGTGGTGACTTGCTAACCACGCTGGCTGACAGCTGACGCATGCCAGACATCAGTGGGACTCATCAGGGGGACTGATGTTTCTTTCAGAAATAATTGTATCCGTGTGTCAGAGGCAAAAACCTGGGTTATTTGACAAATAACTTCATAGCTCAACTTCCACTGTGGAGGGTTTTCTATTCCCAGAGACTGGTAAGAGGTACAGGAATACATCAAATACACAAAGAACACCCTACCTATCCATCTTAATTGGGGCAGTAGAATAAATCAGAAACAATAACAAGTAATCAACCATAAAGACCACCACAGGCACCATGTAATCAGGTGCAGTACTGAGGGAACCAGTGGAAAGAACCCGGGATTCAGAGGGAGGAAATTAGTGTTTATATTTTGGTTCTATCTTTCACTGTTTGAATCAAGCTACTTAAACTTAATCAACCTAACTAAAGCCTCAGTTTGCTAGTCTGTAATATGGAGATGATAACCCCAACTTTAAAGAGCTGTGGAGATGTGCACATAAATTACCCATGGAAGTTTCTTCCAGAGTGCCTAAGACAGTAGGGTCCCCAGCACATGAGTCTATAACCTGGCCTATCTTGGCAAACTTAGAAGAAATCTTGTGTAAGTATGAAAGGTGCTTCCTTAATCAAAGACAATTTCCTGAAGACACAGACTGTAGGAGGCAGTAAGCAAGCAGTTTACTTACGGGGAATGTCCGGAGCAAGGGCGTGATGTCAGGGGTCTCGTGCGGCGTTGGGTGTGGGGCAGGTGCAACTGAACAGAAGGAGCCAGAAATGGGCAGCTGAGGATCTGGGCACCGGGGTTAGGGTGGGGTGGAACACCTCAAATGTCGGTAGGCTGAGTAAAAGCCAGGCAGAGAGAGCTGAAGATAGTTCTTGTGGGTGGAATGAAACAGTGCTGTAGAACACTCTAAGCTGGAAAGCATTCTCTCTATTCATCAGCAAGGGCACCGCAGACTGGGATGAGTAGGAAGAAGAGGGGCCCTGGAGAAAATGAGGACAACCTGAGCCTTGCAGACAAGAGTGACAGCAGCCCAGGAAAGGGCACTGAGGGCAAAGAGACGAATTCAAGAGTCAACAAGATCCCAAGGCAGCTCCTGTGTGCTCACTCCAGGAAGCTTTTCCTGCTCAGCAAAGTGTACTTGGCTTTAGATACAAGGGATTTGGCTTTGTATTCTAAGCAGTGCTAATTCCCTGAGTGGCTGTGCCTCTTTAAATGTATCTAAACATTTAATAAACACCACACCAAGTTTAATTCCAAAAGACAAACTAACCAGCAGCTGCTGGCTGCAGCAATTTGATCAGTCTTAGTCCATCTACCCAGCACAAATACACGCCAGCAAGACTGCTGCCAGTTCTGTTCTGATCACTCACAGAGCTCATGCCACTGCCAAAGAACCAAGCTCATAAGTGTGCCCAGCAATATTTGGATTTAAAACCTTTCCATGCCACCAGGCAGAAAATGTCCAGTGATCTCTCCATGGAACTTGCAGCTCGAAAGAAAAATAAATCATACATATTGCCATGTAAACAGAACAAAACAGAAACGCAGATGAGGTCCCTCCTCCCTCTTTCCTGGAAATGAGAAGCTTGTCTGTGTTCTCCCTTTTGGACTACACCTGGAATTTCTATTGCTTCTCATCTAGTATCCATCAAGGACACAATTTCTGAAAACACAACAATTATAAGGCAGCACATTTTTCTGCTTATCATGAGACTTGATGGTGGAGGGAACAATCTACCCTTTTATTATCTGGAGATGTGTATCGGGAAGAAGGAAAGTTAACCCAGTGACAAAAGAATGATTAGTCCTTACCTAGGTGTGTGTGGTGATGTGTGTGTGTGTGTGTGTTTCTCTTTTGAAAAGGGCATGACATGTCTTGAGACATGTAGCAATCAGGAAAATTCTTGATCCTAAAGTGATCTTTTCCTTCCCACTTTTCCAACCAGAGCCTCCCCTGGGAGCAAGATGGTGCTACATAATTTCACTGGAAAATGAGATCTTCTCATTTGGCAGGCACACACAATCCCAAAGGTAGACAGACCCAAGTGGGAACAGAGCTCAGTCTCAGCGTGGGGCACTAAATGCCAAAGACTCTAAAAGCCAATTAAACAAGAAACTCTCACAGGAAGGACCAGAAGCAAGGATGTGTCTTAGATCATATGATCAGTTAGAGGAGAAGAGATCATCTTGTCAGGTCTCTCAGTCAGATCAGATGTAGCAGGCTCCTTTGGGGTATGCTAGAGGGCAGTAATTTAGTAGATAACCTAACGAACTAGTCCAGTATGAAAACTTTCTCAATTTGCTGGATGCTTTGATTAAACACGGTGTGATTCCTTTGTCTTTCTTTATAGGATTCTAATACTTCAGAAGAGGTTCTCTCATGTCTTTGGAACCGAATTCTTCAGAACGGATATATTAGGTCTCTTTTTCATAATCTGTCACTCATTACTCCAGCAATGCTCATTATAAATTTATTTAATGGTTCTGTAAATGGCACTGGCTCAGAGCCTTTATTCTGCAGTCAACCCTAATGACAATCAACACTACAATTATTACTGCTAGTGCTTTTCGTCATAGTCACTGCAATGATTGTAACCTCACAGTATTTCTAGCCCCTGCACTAGACAGACAGCAAAACTCTGTGTCACAGACCTAAAGGCAGAGGACACACTTTGAAACAGAAGTCCCACAGGGTTAACAAGGAGCAAAGGGAGGGAAAACAAATGACTACACATCCATCTTTCCTCACACATATCTGACTAAAAAGGAAGCGGAAGTGCACAGAAGAGAGAAGTGGTCACAGCAAAACATAAAATTCTCCCTCACCTGAGGCACAGAGCAGAAGGGTTTAATATTCAACTCTGGCTTCCAGTCCTCTTCCCCATATGGGTTCCCTCACTTTACATCTTTGTAAGCCAAAAGGCTAGGAAGAAAGTTCATATTTTTCAAGTTAACTTCTTCTTACCCTGCCAACTATCTCAAGGAAGGAAATGAAAATTCATGGTGCCTTTGAAGAAATGTCATATTTGGAGATGTATTCTAATTGAGGATTCCCATTTGTTTTACATCAAATGACATTTTCTACAGAAAAGCAGAAAGGGAAGTTGAATCTCACGCTGTCCTTGTTACCTTGTCCTGGCTGCCAGGATGTGTCTGGGGGGTGAGGATACAGCAAGTTGAGCCTGTCTCTCAGCCAAGAGGACTGTGCCAACCATAGGCTTGGGCTTCACTCAGAGCTTCCCTTTTCCATTCTCCTTTCAAGGAAACAAAGAACTCAATGCTGCTGTGGTTTGGATAAGTGTCCCCAAAGACCTGGTTGTCAAAGACTCGGTCCTCAGCTCAGGGCCCTGTTTGGAGGTGGGCGGAGCTCTGTAGGAGGCTGAAGGTCATGAGAGATGT